TACCATTTTTCACCCCTCTTCAACCCCCCAAATCAACCCTCCGCCGCCCCTGCTCACGCATTTATTTTTTTTACGTTTATTATAAGCCCCTTTACCATTTCCACTTATAAAAGTCCAGGTAACAATTTTTTTTTTTCTCCTATAAATGAGTTATTTCGATCGGTCTAAAGTGGGTAGAATCCATTTGACTTCAAATAAATGTGCTTCAATTTTTTTGTATGTTTTCAGTCGCATGTTTCTGATTGCTATATTTAGGATACTGGACTGAGGAATAATATTTAAGTCTGGAACGTACAAAAAAAATAAAGGCCAAGTAGGGACGTCGATTGACTGAAATTTGTTTTCAAGGAAACATATATTCTAATATTAGCTTTAGTAGTTTTAAAAGTTTTAAGTTAATTCAAACGGATCCATTTTTTTTTCACCAATTTTCTTGGATACCAAAAATCTAGGTACGGAAAAGATTTTTTATTTTTGCTAGCACTAGCAGCATATGGGTGGCCCAAAAATTTTTTTTTAGTCTTATGAAAATATGTTAGTTTATCATTCCTCAAAAAATCTGCTCAAAAAAAAATTTTTTAGAGGTCGCTCAAGATTTTAAAAAATTTCCAAAATCGTCAAAAATTGATTTTTTTTATTTGTTTTCTCGTTATTTTATCATTTTCTAGGTTGAAAAAAATCTAGATTCTGAAAATTTCAAATCGATATTTTAATTTCTAAAGGTCACTCATAATTATTATTTGAACTTTCAAAGTAGTGTACCTAAAATGTTTTCGAGCGACCTCTAAAAATAAATATCAACGAACTAATAATTTTTTTTATTGAATTTGATGAACAAAAGAATAGAAATAAATCACGAGACACTTATAAAATTTCTCGAGGCAAAGCCTACTTTGAGAAAAGTCATTTATTTGATACACCGTAATACTGTACGAGTTCAATTAAAACCCTTGTTTCTCGAAAACTGTCCACATTAGGAAGTTCTAACAAGAGTACATTATTTTTACAAAATAAAATGTACATTATAAATTGGAGCCCGAATCAATGTAATCAGCTGTACCTACTATCGATCACATAGCATAATGTATACCTACATATATACATGACAAGGACTGCCAACTTACAAATAAATAATAAACTCAACATACTCGTGCGCTGTTGCCAAGTTTCTGTGCAATTATTGGCGTTTATTTATGCATATTGGGTAAAAAATAATAATTGAGAAATGGAAACATATAATTAAAGTACTTTAATTTTGATTTTATTCGATATCTACAAGCAATTATCTCAATTTAGTTACTTTCAAGTCATAAAGAATATTTTTTGCATTAATAGCAATGATTTTATAACACGGTAAGTATAGCCCCCCGAGTCCTGCTTAGATTTTAGATTTTTGTGTCATACGCATAACTATATGGCGTCAAGATATATCATTAACGTAATTGTTAAATAATTATGGACCCAAAACTGAACCCTGAGGAATCCTAAATAATAAATCCTTGATATTTGACAAATTTGTGAAGAAAGATCTTATTTGTCTCCCTTATTATTAAAGATAGACTTTTCAAACATCATTGAAATCGCTATGCTCAACAATGTTTTTTTTATATCTCGATACTAAAAATAAAAACACGGCATATAAATAATTTTAAGCAACTTCTTATTAAAGAAAACAATTGTACCTTGTTGGTAGATTAAATTGTTCAGAAATCAGGTAGAATCCGCATATCATCAACATAAAGCTCGAGCACTTTCCTTTCCCTTTTTAGGGGATTAAATGTGGGGCCATAAAAGGTAAAAAAAATGTTCAGCGCCGTATAGGGAACTCTAAACGCTTCAGAAGATATATAATTATTTTTCTCTCTATTTACTCTATAGCTACTTCGTTCCTTATCGGAATTCCCTTCACAAAGGGCAAGTCTATTTCATCGGGGTTGCCATGAATGCACCAAGATGGTTTATATTTACCGATTGATGGTAGTTACGGAGTTAAATAGAAACGCTTTCTTTGTTAAGGCCCTCTCGCCCTCGGTTCTCTGGATCCTATCTACTGTTATTACAAAACTGTAGTGTCTCGGTGGCGTATCGCCGGGAACAGTCTTATTTGGTTGGTTTTATAAGAAAAAGCGACGTCCTTTTAAACCCTTAAAGCGAGGGATGGAGACAACTTCTTGCCTCTTGCTCAATATGGAGAGATATCCGTAATTATAATTTTTTTAAATTTTATTTCGTTTAATTATTTTTACTTATTCACTAATGATTAAATTGTTTGTAAATTTAAGATGACTGCATTTCACTGTTATTCCTTTGCATGTTTAAGTAATTTAAGGAGGTATATCGGGGTCCGAGAGAAGTGAGGAGCGCAAGGGGGGGCGCATGCTTTTCTTATGGGACTAAAATTCGCTGCCAATTTGAAAAAATTAAATTCTATTGAAATTATTTGCGATAAACATTATCTATATAGCAAAGAAATCTACTCATATGCACATAGCATACATATTAATTAATTAACAACATACAAATATCATATTTAAGTAGTTTTAAATTATATTTAATGAACGCATAAAGACTATGTAGATGTGGCAACAGCGCTAATAATTGACTAGCAGTTGCACACACTGCAAACCTACAGACCTCGGACAACGGAGATATTACGCGTCAAATTCGGGTAAAGATGCGTACGCGTTCAAAAATGTATTGTGTGTAAACTATGTACAATATAATTATTATATATAACAAATACATCGTATTATTCTCGCCAAGATTTGTATGCTTTATTTAAAATCCGTAAATCATGTGAACTGGTAAAACAACGAGAATTGTGTTAATTTAGTTCTAAAGAAATGAAATTACACTCGCGCCCATCTCTCTTCCAAGTCAAAGATAATGTTGGATGCAATTTTGAAGGTTCTGTGATAGAAATTACATTATTACTCACTATTCGTGTTTTTAATCTCTATTACAAAAGTTTTGCAACTATAACTAATTTTTTAGATATAAAGTTTGCTGAGAAATATTTATGTTCCTTTGTTATTCCGTACAAATGCTTTTATCTCAAGTATTACTAATTATATTAATCAAGTAAAGAAAACTTTATGTAACCCTAAATATTGCTGGGTAATGATTACGATGTTTTTATAAACCATTAAATATATTAAAAGGATTTATCAACTGTATTTTTTATTCCAATAAATATATCACAGCTTCCTAGTCTTTTTTAATTAATCTAGTTTTTTAAAAACATTACAAAAAATCATCTGTTGTGGATAATTTATTGTTGATAACAATGTACATGGGATTTAGGAAAAATGTATATGTTTGAAATCAATTTCGTTTTTATCAAGTCTTTCAAATGTATTCCCTCCTTGCTGTCAGCTGATTGCGACGTTGCCACATTAATCCTCAAGTCAGACAGAAATGCAATTATTGGTTTCTGTTTCTAATTAATACAGCTGTACTATGTTCAAAACTTACATTAGTTTTACATCAAAAATAAGATAATACTGTGTACTATCTATGGAAAAGTTTTGTTTCACAATTTCTACATTTTTTTCTCAGTTATGGGCAAAAAAAGAGCCGCACCGTCCATCTTCGCCATATAAACCTATGTTAAAATGAACAACTTTCAACAACAATATCTCAAAATCTAGATTAAAAAAAAAATTTCAAAAAAATATGACGCTCAGAGGGAGCACTGGCTAATACGCTATATAAATTTCAAGTATATCTGTGCATTTTAGTAAATCCAATATACCTCCTTAAGTAATTGTGTAAAATCAATTTTGTTATTAATTGTTTTGTTTTTAATCGGTTTGGAATATAAAAAAGTGTAAAGAAATAAAAAGTGAAGATAATATAATGGCGCATATGATGACCTATTTTATTTGTAATATTATACAGGGTGATATTTTATTGGCAAATAATGATTGATGATATCCACACCTCCGCCACTGGCAACTTTCTAAAGCTGGTAATTTTTGGTTTCATACCTACTGTCATACTAAATATGCACACCGAATTTGCTTAAATTATCACAACCGGTTTAGAAATTAAAAATTAAAAACTGATTTTTTTTTTAATTTTTAACACACTGTAACTGGACAATGGCTATCCTAAGACCCCACAATTACGCCCCTGGATTTTTGACTCCTACTTAAGGAACACCCTGTAGACAGAATACCGAACTATTTATGGTACCTTTCAAAACACCCTGAATATTTTTTGCTCAGTTCGAGTCTGAAAAAATTAGGTTTATTCGAGTTTCGATTAAATATTTAGTTGACTAGACGGCTGACAAAGCAACTGCTGATGCCTGACTTCTAATATTTATTTAGTACAATGTTTCAGCTCTATAATTGATTGTGGAAATGTTTCACAAACGACATAATAGATGGTAAAACAACATTGCCTTCATTTACTCAGCCTAATTAATAAAACCGAGAGTATTGGGAGTTTTTCAGTGAAGATACTATTAGTTTTTTAAAAGTAGATCAGAGTAAACAACATTTGTTAAAAAGACTACACTATTTACAGGACTTTTACCCCACGTTGACTTTTTTATTGTGTGAACTGGACTGTACAGAATAACTGAAGATAAACTAAAACTATTATTTAAATATCTTACATGATTAGGTGTTCTAACGAAACATGGATTTTAATGAAATTGAACTAGTAGTAGGATTATTATTTAATGATGTCAGCCGATACATATATAAACATATAAAAATAAAATCGATTTATATTCGAAAAATTAACCACACTTTCCATTCTTTTCCTAGCGATCTACCGACTTATATCCTTTCCTGTACTGTTTATATAAATTCGACCAATGAACTAATCAAACTAAAGTAATCAGTAATCAAACTAAACTATTCAACAAATAACAGATTTGTGAATTCTTCGTGCACCCAGCTATATTATTATTTACCTATGCTGCAAGTTCAATCAAACAACAAAAGCACGGTATTGATTCAAGCGATTAGTTGGCGATTTGTATTTACCTGGGTAGTAAATAGCTTCTTTTCTAACTGTATAATTGGCTTGGGGGATGTGAAGCTCACAGGAAAATTCCTCCGGCGCCTCCAGAGACGGTATTTCAGCCACAGCTTTGATGTCGTACAGCCCGTTTCTTTCTTGCACGACGACTTTGGTGTTGTTGACTTCACTGGAAAAGAAACGGCAATGAGATCGGTTATTTACGAAGAAATTGATATTAATATGTCGCATCTTCTCCCGCACAAGTCTATAATTTCTGCAGTGACTTTTTATAAGAACAAAATTTGTTTTGTCTTTAATGGCAATCACTGTAGTCCTTTAATGTGAATTTATTGCAGCCATTTTAAATTTTTGCAACTTTTTTGTTGTTGCAAACATTGTTGAGTAATAATAATCTCAGGATTGTATTAAAAACGGGAAGAGAGAGTTCTAGCAAAAAAAATGTTGATTAAAAACGGAACGAAAAGAAACTTTAAATTAGTTACCAAGTTTCTGAAGTGTTCAAAGGGCTCTTGAAACAATAAATTAATAAATTATGTGGGAGCAGTATCTGCAACGTCAGATTTATATTTGCGTGGGACTTTTTATAAACAAGAAGCAAGAAAAATCTTTTAACGTCATCATTTTTGATACCATTTCGACAGTGACTTATACAATACATTTTTTCCCAGCAAAATACGTTTTGGGTCAAATCATAAATAAGTAGTGTTATAAATAAATCAAACCACAATTTGTACTGCTTCTTAATCTGAGAAAATAATTTTCTGCATTATTAGTGTAAGTAAAAATAGTCGTTTCCGTTACAATAAATGAGTTGACATTCAAAATGACTTTGAAGAGGGTCAAGTTCACAACAGAAGAATTACTATTAACAATTCATTATTCTTTTGAATTATGAATGAGTTGGAAAACTGACCTTGGCATGATCTTCAAAGTTCATTTTCACCAAAAAACCAAACAATGTATTCAGGCATTTCAGACATTTTATTAAAGTTTATTTTCACAGAATAAGACTGGTGAATTTAAAATGACTCCTCTGTATATTCCTTGTTGTAAATTTAATATTTCTTTGAATCCTCTAAAATGTTACGTCTATGGAATCGCGTTTCCCGCATGGCTTATCCGTCGGTTCACATGTTGACATTGAGTCATTGCCAAGAAGAGTAAACGTACAATGAAACGTTAGACAGGAAATAATTTGTTTATAAAAAATGAATGTACTGCATTGTTAGAGGTTTGGATAATTCCTATGAAAAATTTGAATATCAATTCCTGAGAACTCATGCAATGGCAATTATGAAGGAAGTTAGAAAATGCCAACACAGATATCTATCGCAAAAGAATCGCGGGTCATGTAAATTGTTTGCTAATGGAAACGAATAAGTTTTTACAAAATCATTCCGTTTCCGAGATTGCCTTAACCACTACCTACCTAATAAAATGAATGGCTTTCGTGGCTCCTCAGTTATATAGCAATTTTGACATTTATCCCTAGGTACATAATAGCTCGTAGATGTTATAAAGTAATATTCATTATTTAATCGTAACAGCCGCAGGCTTGGGGTTAATGGATATTAAATCAGTTCCGGATAATTTAATAATGACTGTTAGATGTAATTTATAGCGCTAGACAATTAGTACCAACATCGAATCATAAAATTTCATTTATCGGGTTTATAGCGCCGGGAAACTGCGGACCCTGTAGCACACAGAGTTAAAAGTCGTCATAACTAGTACGTATAGAAATCAAGAGTGAATTTTATAACTGCCACTCTTGTGGATATAAAAGTATCTTATTTTTCAATATTGTTTATGAACTAGGAGATTTATTGTACCTAAGTTGTTTGTTAACTATCATTCTCTCACATGTAAAAGTCTCTTATATTTTAATATTGCTTACAAATTTGGAGATTTATATTTTATTAGTTGTTTCTTAACTGCTAACATTGCACATCACAAGTCTCTTATGTTTTAGTATTGAACTAGTTCGGATATACAATTGTCGAAGTCGAGTGTTGTTTTGTCATAAGTGGTTAGTGTTTCATTACATCTAATCGGGTTGCAAAGCGTATTTTAAGAGAATGTTAAGACAACAGCTTGATATAAAAAATTTCAAAATTTTCTGTCTCTGTAGGTTGTTTACGAGCTTGGAATATTCTTATGCATTTCAAAGAATATTATTTTTCAATATTGTTACCCGAAGTAGGAGACCTATTTCTTAATTGTTATTTTTCCACATCTAAAAGTTTCTTATATTTTAATATTATTTACAAATTTGAAGATTTATGCTGTACTAGTTAATTCTTCTTAACTGTCAGTCTCGCACACCTAAAAGTCTCTTATGTTTCAGTATTGTTTACGAATTTGGAGATTTACTATTTATTATTTGTGTCTCAACTCTTAACCTTGCACATCAAAGTTTCTTATATTTCACTATTAGGCAAGTGTGGGTATAAAATTGTAGAAGTCGAGCGTTGTTGTCATTAGTGTTCTTTTTTCGATTAATTGGGTTTAAATAGTACATTAAGAGACTATTAAAACAACATGAATAAAACAAATACAACACTTTTTGTTGTTAGGTTGTTTACTTAACTTGATTTCTTATTAATTGTTTCCTAACTGTCATTCTTGTATATCTAAAAGTCTCTTATTTTTCTGTTATTCTTCCGCATTTAAGTCTGTTATATTTTAGTAATGTTTGCGAATTTGAAGATTTATACTTTAGTAGTTTCTTACCTGTCAAACTTGCACACCTAAAAGTCTCTTATGTTTTAGTATTGTTTACGAATTTGCAGATTTACTTTTTATTATTTGTTTCTTAACTATCAACCTTGCACATCTAAGTCTCTTATGTTTCAGTATTCACTCATTTTTTTCGATTAATCAGGTTTTAATCATACATTAAGAGACTATTAAATCGATTAAAAATATTCCTAAATTTTCTGTACTATGCAGATTGTTTACTTAACTTGGATATTTATTTCGTATTAGCTATTTCCTAACTGCTATTCTTGTATATCTAAAAGTCTCTTATTTTTCAGTATTGTTTACGAGTAGGAGATCTATTATAAACTGATTTTTAACTGTTATTCTTTCGTATTTAAGTCTCTTATATTTTAGTCATGTTTGCGAATTTGAAGATTTATATTGCCTTAACTGTCATCCTTGCACATCTAAGTCTCTTATGTTTCAGTCATTAGTATTTTTTTTCGATTAATCGGATTTTATTCGTACATTAAGAGACTATTAAAACAGAACGATTAAAAATATTTTTAAATTTTCTGTACTATGCAGATTGTTTACTTAACTTAGATATTTATTTCGTATTAGCTGTTTCCTAAATGCCACTCTTGTATATCTAAATGTCTCTCATTTTTCAGTATTGTTTATGACTTCTATTATAAACTGATTCTTAACTCTTATTCTTCCGCATTTAAAAGTCTTATATTTTAGTAATGTTTGCGAATTTGAATATTTACTTTTTATTATTTATGTCTTAACTGTCAAACTGTTTGTCATTAGTAGTCACTCTTTTATTACGTCTAATATTTATTTTTTATTAGTTGATTCTTAACTGTCATTCTTACACATTTGAAAGTCTCTTATATTTTAGTGTTGTTTGCGAATTTCGTTCGTGCGGTTTTGTTGGCTCTATCCCGATACCTAAATCAAGCATTTATGATTACGGTTGTCTAATTTGTTATATCCCTTAACGAAAATACGTGTTTACGCGTCCTCCCTTTTATTTTCATTAGAGTTTACTGTAGAGGTTATCAAGGGCAGACCTCGATGGAATAATGAATGCCTGAATTTGAAATGAAGGGTTACAGACCTACTCTTTAGAGCGAGGACGAGCCTGTATAATTGGTCGCCTTTGAGCCATATATCTGTTTCCACTCATTTAAATAAGGCTGTTCTTTGAAACGTTTCGAATCAAAACCGTGGGTATTGAAGCAGTGACGTAACTTGTTTCATTCTCCCAACGAATTCTACTTATGTGGAAAATATATTTTGAGAGGGCGTGTCTCCCTACTTGTCCAACTTTTCAGATTTTGTAAAACTAATTCACCTCGTAACTTATCTTACTTTATAAAACACACAATTACTTGTTTTAAAGTTTCACAGACATATTTAATTCCAATACTATCAGGAAAGGTGTATTAAAGTCTTCTATTGTACGCGAGAGTGCAAATGGCTCCATCTGCCGTGCTCCCGCGTACAATGTATTTCCTTGTCGTAACGATACGACACAAAACAGCTGGTTCGTTCGTCGGTTGTCTCACCTATGACACACTGATGAGGACTAATAAGTCCGAAACCGGTCTATGCCTGGTGGGTGAAACTGACGAACGACCCTAGCTGTTGCACTAGGTGTTGCGAGTATAATTCAATGCCGGTATATAGGGGCATATAGCCCTCGGGGTAGTTGTTTCTCGCAACACTGACAATTTAAGTCTTCTAGTTTATCGATTCCGTGTTCAAGCTATAAAATGTATGAATTACTGGACACGGTTGTTAAAAATTTCATTTAATTGGGACCCTTTAAGACTACTGCACTTTTCTCTCACGATAAAGAAAACAAAACATCCGGAACTTCATATCAAACCGTTCTAGACGCTTTGGAGTAACTTCTAAAACACTTTAATGCAACCCGTAATATGCTAAAAAGTTGTGGAAATGCCATTTGTGGGGCGGAAATTCAAACTTTTGTTTGGGTTGAGTAGAACTATTAGTCTCTTAAACATAGCAATTAGAATATTTTATGAAGTTCTATCTACTTGTTTTAAAAGTCATATTTATTTTATTAGTCACTTACTGAACAAATTTGAAAGTCCAGAAAATGAAAGTAATAAATATATTAAGACATTCTCTTTAAAAAATATAAAGTACAAACTCAATACAACATTTTCTCGTTTACTTTTGTATGAATTGATAGTTTTATTCCATCCTTAAAGTCAGTTGATGTTGTTTACTCAAGATATGTAATTCTGCAACACACAAAACAATTGTAGTCGTAAGTAAATATAACGAAAATCTGCCGAACTTTTCTTTATTGGGTCATCCAAAACTTAGTTATATCCTGCGGATTCAATGCCGAATCAGATTGACAGATCTTCCACAATTTTTCGTATTCGATTGCTTCAAGTTAAGGCTTTCAACTTATCTGAC